AGGGGAGGGTGGGAGGGTGGGTCAGGACAGAGCAGGCGGGCGCTTGATGGTTGAGGGAAGCGGCACCGGGCCCCGGTCTGGGGGCACACACACAGTCACACGCACACACACGCACACACACACACACACACACGCGCATACACACGCAGTCAACTGCAACAGCTGACCTTGAAGGCGCTGGCCACCAGCACGGCGCGGCAGCCCAGGAAGTAAGCGTGCCAGCCCAGGCGGCGGTTGAGGGGCTGCAGGCTGGCCAGCGCTGCCAGCACGATGAAGGCGTGCAGCGCCAGCAGCACCAGCTGGCCGACGGGCCCAGCGTTGCGGGCGCCTGCGCCTGCGCCTGCAGCGGGAGCGGCGCGGGGCTGCGCCTGGGGGGCGCGCGCCGCACGCACATCCTCCAGCCCCTGCTTCAGCTGCTGGCTGGAGGGGTCCACCTGCAGGCCTGCAGGGAAGAAAGGACAGGAAGAAAGGACAGGTGGGGAGAGGCTGGATGCCCAGCTGGGCCCTGCTTCGCAAACCTCAACCTGCACAGGCTGCTCGCCCGACGGCAAGCTGCCCCAGCCCAGCAGCTCTGCTCACCCTTGGTGTAGGCCTCCACGGCCTCGTCCCACTGGCGCAGCCCAAAGTGGGCAGCTCCCAGCCGGGAGTAGCCCTTGGGCCAGTCCGGCTTCAGCTCCACCACCTTCTGGGCATCCCCCAGCGCCTGCTGGTACTGGCTCATGGAGGAGTAGGCCGCGGAGCGGTTGGAATACAAGACGTGGTTGCCGGGGTCCACGGCAATGGCGGCAGTGAAGTGCTCCACCGCCTCAGTAAACTGGCCCGCGGAAAAAGCCGCGTTGCCGGCGGCCTGCACGTGCCAGCGGCGGCGGGCGGCGGGGGCCGGCGGGCGGTGGAGGGTGGCCACCTCATGGGGAGCCGCAGATGACAGCGGCGCGGCCGTCTGATTGGCGCTTCATGTAGGGGCGCCGCTCGGGTCCGCCAGCGGCTGATCAGGTGGGCCCACGGACTGCAACCCAGCTCCGCCTACCTTCAGCTCATCCGACTGAGAAGCCATGGTCGCTACGATGGACGGAATGGATCGAGTCTGTCAAGGCGGCAGAGAGACCCTTCCAGACTTGGTAGTGCCCCGCAGCGGCAGTACTGGTTGACCTGGTGTTTGCGCTGGAATGCACGTGTGTGCATGTGTTGTTACAGCTTGTAAATGACTCTAAACATCGATCAATACACAACTGGCGCGCAACGCCGGCGTGTGGTCAGCATGCGGACATGGTGATGGAGATGGTTCAGAGCAACAGCACCAGCAGCGTGCTGGCAAGGGCAGAAATGAACAGCAGGGCGGGCAAGTGCAGTGCGAGCGGCAACACGCCGTTGGCAGTCGCTGCCGTGGTGGGAGGCTCCAGCGCCGCCATCTCCTTTTGCAGCCAGTACAGCCCGAGGCCGGCAGGCACCTCGCCTGCGCCCTGGCCCTCGGCTGCCGGCTGCTGGTCGGATGCCCCTGCTCCTCCAGCCTCCGCAGGCTGGAACGCCAGCGTCCGAGGCTCCCAGGGGAGCAGCAGCAGCGTGCCGCTGCCGTCAAAGTGCCCCGCCTGCTGCTGGTTTTCCACAGCCACAAACAGCGCCACAGCGTCGGAGGAGAGAGTGACCGCCAGCGAGGGAGCGGCTGCAGGCGCCAGCTGGGCGGACAAGTTGGCCGGCGCCAGCCTGGCATCCTTGGGCTCGGTCAGCAGCACCAGGCTCTCGCTGCACTGCAGCAGACGCCGCGCAGCGGCGCACTGCGCCGCGGTGGTCCCGCGTGGCAGCGCCACCAGCGCGTCGCAAGGCTGGTCGGCGGGGCCGCCATCGCTGGCTGCTGCCGTGCGCTCCGTCGCGGGAGCGGCACCGCCGCTGCTGCCGCCCAGAAGCAGCGCGCCGCCGCCCAACGCCTGCTGCAGCTCCTCAGCGGCGGTCGCAAAGCCAAAGGGGTTGGGCGGCGGCTGCGCCGCGCCTGCCGCGGCCCACTGCCGCTGCACCACGCTGGGGCAGAAGCGGAGGCGCAGGAAGACGTCGCCGGCCTCTGCCGGCCTACCAACACCCAGGCCGTCCTCTGGCACAAGGCCCGCAGCGGGGAGCACGTCGCGAGCCAGGCTGCCGCGCCAGGCCAGGCCGCTGCCGCCCGCGCGATACTGGCGTTGTCGGAGCGGTACAGCGGTACGACCTCCTCCGCCCGCGTGGCACCAAAAGGAATGATGTCGACAGCCAGCTCCCCTGCAGCAGTGGCAGCAGTGGCAGCGGTGGCAGCAGTAGCAGCAGCAACTCATGGCAGGTTTCGTTGCCGCCTTCTTCACACGCGGTCGCATGGGAAAGGGCCCTTGCTGCTCCCCGCCGGACCCTGCCAGCGCTGGCTGCCTGCATGCCCAGACCTGTAACGTCCACAGGGAGGTCGTTGGTCAAGTGCACCTCCACGCGCCCCCTCGCACCCTTCACCCCGCTGCACGCAAACAGGGCAGCACAGGCACGCGACAGTGTGAGACACACCTGCCTGCTCAGGGGCGGCGAGGTGGATCCCGGTCCCCCGGAAGGAGTGAGCCCAGCTCAAGCATTCCACATGCAGGGAGCGGCTCATTTAATGCCTCAAGCTTGGCCAGCCACGCACCTAACCAGCACGGGGTGGAAGAAGTCGACGGCAAAGTGGTGGGCCAGGCGCCAGCTGCCATCCGAGTTGATGCCGCTCCAGGAGGGGCCCTGCAGTGGTGGGGAGTCCAGCCAGCAGGCGGCGGCATGGGTGGAAAGCAAGCAGCGCAGGAGGGCAGCCGGGGCGAGCGGGGCACACGGCTGCGGGCGGCTGTAGCAGCGGCAGGCGCTGGTGCGGCCAGCATGCTGATCTCACCGGCCACACGTCGTTCAGCTGCCAGTAGAGGACCCCCATGGTCTGCACGGTCAGAAGTACATGGCAGTACGGCATGGAAGTACGTGGCAGTACAGGTGCAGTACAGGTGCAGCAGGGCAGCCACAGTGCGGCGACCCCACCACTGAACGCTTGCAGCCGCTCAGCACCAACCCGCTGCTCCCTTGCCCTCCCTTGCCCCACCACCCCCTCACTAGCGCCGCAGGGTTCCCCTTGTTGCGCCGCCACTGGTGGATGGCGGCTTGGTACGCCAGCGCCTGCTGCAGCTGGGACAGGTAGGTGAAGGCCTCAAACCGCCGCTGCTCCAGCTCCTGCTCCTCCTGAGGGGTCAGCGCCAGCTGGCCAGCCTCTGGTGCAGGCGCTCCGGCTGCCAACGGGCCCCCATTGCTAGCGTTCAGGCTGCCGGCCTCCGCTGCGGCATCCACCGCGGCAACCGGGTCTCTGCCGTCTGCCCCTGCCGCATCGAAGGCAGAGGCCAGCGCGGCCTGCGCCGCCGCCAGCCGCTCCAGCCGCTGCTCCGTCGCCTGCTGCGCCCACGCCTGCTCCGGCTGCTGCTGCTGCTGCACAGGCTGCTGCTGCTGCTGCTGCTGTGCATGCAGCTGTGGCGGCTGGGCGAAGAAGTGGCGACCCATCTGCGCCAGCAGCTCTTGCATGCCGTTGGCGTGGCGCATGCGGAAGGCCGTCATGGGCGAGTCGAGGCGCCACTCGTCAGGCGCCGTCATTTTCTTGTAGGCTGCATGGGAGCACAGGATGCACAGGTGAGCGGTGGAAGCAGAGGGGCAAGAGCGGGGGCACGCCTCAGCGGCAGCCCAGCCCGCTGCATCGTCGTCAGCGCGCCTTGCACAGCACGGCAGCACAGCGGGCCTGCCAAGGCTGCCAGGCTGTTGCCAGCCTGGTAGTTTCTGGTTCGTCAGCAGAAGCGGGCGTGAGTAGGGGCAAGCAAGGGCTCCAGCCTGTGCTGGCAGCTGCGGGCATGTGCCGGCGTTTCTCTCCCCTTCCTCCACCGCCACTCGCAGGTGCTCAAAAGCCGCCTGCAGCTGGGCCTGGCTGACGGTGGCTGCGGCCTGAAGCTCAGGTGGTCTGGGCTGAGCCTACAGGGCCGCCTGCACCAGCTTCAATTCTTTTAAGCTGCCCTTAAGAATCTGGCGCGGTAGGCGGGACGGGCGCAGCAGGCGGGACGCCTGGCTGTACACTCTCCCTCCCCTCCAGCCTGATTCTCAAGGGCAGCTTAAACGAATCGAAGCTGGTGCAGGCGGCCCTGTAGGCTCAGCCCAGACCACCTGAGCTTCAGGCCGCAGCCACCGTCAGCCAGGCCCAGCTGCAGGCGGCTTTTGAGCACCTGCGAGTGGCGGTGGAGGAAGGGGAGAAAAACGCCGGCACCTGCCCACAGCTGCCAGCACAGGCTGGAGCCCTTGCTTGCCCCTACTCACGCCCGCTTCTGCTGACGAACCAGAAACTACCAGCAGGCGGCGCTGTGGTCCAGGTCTCAACCCTACTCACGCCCGCTTCTGCTGACGAACCAGAAACTACCAGCAGGCGGCGCTGTGGTCCAGGTCTCTGCGTGGGTGCGGCTGTGCTTCCTCCATCCAACAACTGCTGAAAACCTCGGCCGCAGCTGCTGCTGGACGGCTCTGCCACAGCAAACCACTCACCAGCTTCGCTTGGGCAGCGTGGGCAGCGTGGGTAGCACATAAGCAATCAGGTATGCAATCAGGCATGGCCAAGCTTGAGCGGGCAACGGCTCACCGGCAAAAGAGGGGAAGGACATGAAGCCAAACTCGCTCACAAACTTGGCGGGCGGGTAGGTGGCGGGGTCCCAGGCATCCGCCCGGTAGTTGTAGAAGTGTATGTCGCCGAAGCGGGGGTCGGCTACATCGCCCCAGCTGCGGTTTCAAGAGCAGCATGGCACCGCTCGGCCCGGTGGCCGATGCAGCTCAGCTGGTGCTTGCATCGGCGGTGGCATCGGCGGCGCAGCGGCCAACTCTCTCATGGGAGCAAGGCACCAGGGCCGGCTCGAGGCGGCACCTGGGGTGGGCAGCAGCCAGCTCGCTCACCGCTTTGCGTACGGCTCGCGGCTGAGGAGGCCGTTGGAGGGTGAGGTGTCTACGTAAGGCATGGCAGGATCCACCCCCATCACCGCCTGCACGCGGTGGGGAACACGCGACAGGTGGGCGGCTGGCAGCACAGGAGTGGGCAAGGGGAGGCCTCTCCAGCAGCCCTCAGCAAGCGGACAAGCAAAGAACGGCACACCCGCACGAGGGGTGGGAGGGAGACGGGCAGGCACACCTGCCGAACCACATCCACAAAGAGTTTGGAGTAGTCGGCGGCATAGAGGCGTGGGTTCTGGAGGGACTCGCCAAACCAGCCAAACGCCGCCTCGTCCTCGTTGTTCCCGCCTGCAGTGCAGGCACGGGGACAGGGGTCGGGAACCGGGCGGCGCGTCGGCCTTCCATGTGCGCGGCTGGCCGGCAGCAGAGGAGCGGCAGCAGAACCGGAAAGACGGCGGCGTTTGTGGAGCGGAGCAGAAGAGGCGAGGCGGGTGGCTGTCATATGCCACGAGGCTCACCCCAGATGGCTACCGAGGGGTGGCTGCTGAGGCGGGCTGCCTGGTGCCGCACCTCCAGCCAGGCCTGCAGGCAGGATGTGGAATGTGCACCACACGCTCTTCATGGGACCAGCCGCCCCGATGCGCTGCTGTGGCCCAGGCTTGCCATGCCGGTACCGCCCCGTCGTACCTCTCTGAGGAAAGCATCGTCCCGCGGGTACATGGCGCAGGCAAACATGGCCTCTTGCCACACCAGCACCCCCTGCTCGTCGCAGGCCTGGTAGAAAGCATCTGCGTGCGGCCAAGGCACAGCAGCAGGAGCAGAGTCACCTGCCCACCCGCCCAGCCCGGCCGCCAGCCTTCCATCCAGCACAGGCAGCCTCCACGACTGCCCATTCGAGGTAAGGCACACATGGCACTCGCACCTTTGAAGTAGCGGCCGCCGCCCCACACCCGCAGCATGTTCATGTGGGCTGCCTTGGCATCAGCCACCAGGCGGCGCAGCCGCCCCTTGGTGACGGCAGGCTCGTAGACATGAGCAGGCACGATGTTGGCGCCTGTGGAAGCATGGGTGGGTAAGCTGCGGTTGGGGGCTGCTGGGCTCACAGCGCCACAGCTGCTGCACTCACAGCAGCACAAACCCCTCCAAAGCAGCAGTGCGCTGCACAGACACCGGACAATACAGATGAAAAGGGGCGGGCGGGTCTTGCGGTGGGGGTCCACAGCAGCAGCAGCAGCGCCCTGGGTTCACCTCTGGCAAACACGGGCTGGCCGTTGATTCGGAAGTAGAAAGTCTCGGCGGCGCCGCCAGGCAGCGGATCGGTCACCAGCTCGACGGTACGGAATCCGATGCGGCGGGACAGCTTGCTGCTGCGCGTGCCCAGGCCTGCATTCACGCCGGGGCCGCCTGGCGCTCTGGCCCCCGCCTCTGCGGCAGCCGCGTCGGTGGCTGGCTCCTCCTCGCCTGCCTCGGCCGCCAGCGCACCACTGCTCCTGCCACCAGCACCGTCGCCAGCAGCCTGGCTGTTGCTGGCGGCGACGGGTGTGTAGGTGAGCTGCAGCCGGTACAGGGGCTGCTCTCCAAAGTCGTGAGGCCACCACAGCTGCGGCGCCTCCACCAGAACCCCCACGCCTCGCTTCACGGGGTGCGGAGCCAGCCGCGGGCCGCCCTCTACCTGATCGCCCGCCTGGCATCCCTCTGGCTGGAGCCAGGGGCTGGACTCCGCGGCGCCGCTGCTGTCGCTGCCGCCGCCGTCGGCAGGGCAGGGCACCGGCGGCGGGATGGTGACTGGCGCCTGCGCCCGCCAGTGCTGGCTGCCATCGGGGCTGGCCAGCTCCAGCACAAGCTCCCCCTGCTCCTCAGCGCCTGCCCCGCCCTGCCCCGCTGGCGGCGGCATCAGCAGAGCGTCCACAGCCAGCTGCACGCTGCCGTTGGCCAGGTGCTGCTGCCGCACCACCATGTCTGCAGCAAGGCGGACGCAGCAAGGCACGGGGGTGCCAGGGTCGGTTGCCGGGCAAGCTCGGGGCTGCGGTGGATGCCCCTCGGTGCATGCATCCGCGCCAGCCTGCTGCTGCACTCGCATCGCAGAGTGCTTGCCGCCCTGTCCAGGCAGGCAGGCGTAGTGCATTCCGCGGCGCGGCGGGCGGCGGCCTACCCGTCAGCACGGCGCCGCTGCGCCCCACCAGTTTGATGCCGCCGGTGATGCCCGCGGGCGCCAGGGCGGGGCCCCAGTCCCACCCAAAGTCGCTGGCGGCCTTGCGCACAAAGTTGTAGCCGGGGATGGCCCCCACTTGCTGGGCAAAGCGGGAGCGGGCGGGGGGGGGGGGGGGCCC